TGGGGATTTAAACCCAGACATGGCAGCCATTGAAGGGAGGTTGTGGCAGTGAGGAGACCCACTCAGCTTTGGCCAGAGTCAGGACCCCTGGAGCCATGGGAAGATCACCACGTGGCTTTAGCAGAGAACTGCCACTTGGCTTTGGCAGAGAACCATGTGGTTTTGGCAGAGTGGCAATGCCCCACCCCCACAACTTTGATGGGGGGATCCCCGTGGCCTTGGCAAGAGTGAGGATCCCAGGGCTTTGGGGTGCTCCCTTTGGCCACATGGCTTAGGAAGCAGGAGAGACATTGCCTGGAAGAAAAAGGAGAAAGGACTTTTACCAATGGGCCATGAGAAGGTACCACATGACTTTGGACTAATTGGAGATCCCGGCGACACAGCTGATGGTGCTGAGAACCAAGGGAGGCCTACCAGCTAAGCACAGATTACCGGGAAGAACCGGGGGCTGCCTGAGCCATGGACTTCTATTTCTTTTCCTGAGATGCAGTATCCCAAGCCAAGCAAAAGGGGGAAGGAAGTATTGTCTGTATTTGTAGGTGTTTTAAGGGACTTTGGGATTTTGATGAAGACATTAAGTCATTACTCTTAAGTCTGTATAACTTGAGTAAATAATTCCTTTCCTTTTCACCAATCTCTAACATGGAGAGATAACTCTCTGGCGAAGGGAAAGGTGAACTTAGTACATGGGGACTCCAGGAAAAGGGGGGATCAATTAGGTAGCATTGTGGGACCCCCTTCCCTGGCAGCCAGTCAGGGAAAATCATGGGGGACCACATGTGCAGTAGCTTTAAAGTAATACAACTACTTGTACATGCTCAGTAAAAGCCCACCAAAACTAGCCAGGAAGGATCCGCCCTATAAGAATAGAGTCCATCCAGCCCATGAGGTCAATCTCTGCTTGTAGTTGGCCTGCTCCCATGTTCTCTGCTATTAACTCTGGGTGTTTGGTTCAATTCTTTGCCTCAATCACCAAGAACCTGGTTACCTATGCCCACCTGTGACAGAACCACACATCCAAGTTCAAGAAGTTGTGCACGTCACCAGTTCAAATACTCTCACCGAGTCTTCTACGTATCACAGGATTTCTTGCATGTCGGGAGAGTTCCTTGCTTTCTTGGGCAGGTGCAGCAAAGCTTGCACAGAAATTAGCATTTCTATAATGCTAGCCAGCTATTTATATGCAAAGTAACCATTAATCACTGTGCTGCCACTCTTCCTGGCCCCCAGGTAGGTTTGGAGGTTTGGGGCTTCTCTGCTTCCACCCTGTTCTGAGCCTCATTCTGCACCCATTACATCACAACCCAGGTTTTGTTGCCTGCCTCACTTTTCTATATTTTGCATCTAATATAACATTCACTTATAGTCTGAGGGCTAATCATACACCTTTTCAGTTTCCATTTGACCATCAGATGGGATTCTATTTTCTATAGCCCATTTACTTCCCATTGGAAGCACACAGGTGCTGTTGTTAGTTTGATTTCTGATAGTTGTGCAATTGGAAGCTGTAATCTTAAATTTTAATCTGGGCCAAGGCTGTAAGAACACAATGCTTTAAATTACAATTGCCATCTAAAAATTCCAGAGGCCAGGAGAACAGGAAGAGTTTTATAAGTAAATGTTTCTGTGCCTTCATAGCAGCTATAGATAGCCATCTATAAAAACATGTGGAAGATTCTTAATAAACAGAGTTACACCACTGTCTAGCTAAATTCTTACCCTGTTCTTTGCCAACTACTTACTCATCTTCCAGGTCATATTTATTACCAACCAAAATCATTGAAACATCATCTTTTTTCCTTAACCTGTAAAATTTGTTCCCTCAGGTCCTGTAAGTCATTAAATATGGACTGAGCTATAATAGAATATACTAGTGTAAACCCTTGGCTATTCTTCATGTACAAATCCTTTATCACTGTAAATAGCTTTATTTCTGCTGTATCCATTTTGAGCATACACTGTTGGCAATCTATATCAAATTGCTTTCTGTAGGAATCTTCTATTACTGGGTTATATTTTTCAACAAAAATTCCCTGGACATATTGAACTGTCAGAGAAGACTCCCCCACCCCTCTTAAATCGAAGACCAGTAGCTTGCACTCACAAAGTGGTCTGTTTAAATACTGACAATCCCAACACTCCCATCCAGCTCTTCCTCCTTCTCCTCCTCATCCTTTCTCTTCTGGGCTATGGCTCCTTCTCAGGCTCTGCAACTTTATCTCTCCTTCACTTTTGAAGGATAATTTTACAGAGTACAGGATTCTAGGTTGGTGCAATTATTCTCTCAACACTTTAAATCTTCATGTCAGGATGGGTGGGGTAGGACAATTGGGAACCTAGCTACAATTAGCATTTTGGACTACAAATATGACCACCGTTTGCACTACAAGTAATATGGTGACTGAACTCTGACCCAGAAGAGGTGACTGACATAAGACCAGGAACCACCAATGATATGTTGCTTCTTTGTTCACCAAGAACCAATCCTTGGCTCCCCGCAAAGTCAAGCCATATAAAACTCCCATCCTTTCCTTTCTCCCGAGAGGTGTTCTCTCCATCACCCTGGAACACAAACTTCCAAAATAAAGCTCATCTGCCTGTTTCCATGGCTAATTGGCTGTTTATTTCCTCGGTGGGGTCTAGGAAAACCTTACAATTCACTATTTTCTTGTTTGCATGGCTTCCGAGAAGTGAGGTTTAATTTTATCTTTGTTCTTTCTAGGGAAGGTGTTTATTCCCTCTGGCTTCTTTCAGGATTTTTAATTTATCTTTGATTTTTTTGTAGTTTGAAGATGTAGTTTTTTGGTATTTATTCTGCTTGATATTCTCTGAACTTCCTGGATTTGTGGTTTGGTGTCTTACATTAATTGGAGGAAGATTCCCAATCATTATTATCTCAAATATTTTTTCTGTTCCTTTCTCTCTTTCTTCATTTGGTATTTTCACTTCATGTATGTTACATCTTTTGTAGTTTTGCTATATTCCTTGAACATTCGGGGGGGGGGGGTCAGTATTTGTTCTCTGTTTTCAATTTTCAGAGATTCTCTTGATATATCCTTTAGCTCAGAGATTCTCTCTTAAGCCATGTTCAGCTCATGAAAGGCATTTTTCAATTCTTTTTTTTCAATTTTTATTTATTTATTTTTAGACAGAGGGGAAAGGAGGGAGAAAAAGAGGGAGGGAGATATCAATGTGTGGTTGCCTCTTGTGCACCCCCTACTGGGGACCTGGCCTGCAACCCAGGCATGTGCCCTGACTGGGAATCAAACCCATGACCCTGTGGTTTGCAGTCCGTCACTCAATCCACTGAGCCACACCAGCCAGGATGCATTCTTACAGTATTTTTAAATTCCAGTATTTTTGTTGTTGTTGTTGTTGTTGTTCTTTTTCAGGATTTCCATCTCTCTGTTCGAGCACGTTATCTACTTTATCCATTAGAGCCCTTAGCATATTAATCATAATTGTTTTAAATTCCTAATTTAATAATTCCAACATCTCTGCCTGGTTTTGCTCCGATCCTTGCTCTGCCTCTTCAAAATGTATCTTTTTGCCTTTGGTATGCCTTGTAATTTTGTGTTGATAGATAGATATGATGTACTGGGTAAAAGGAACCACTGTAAAAGGCTTTTTTGTTGTGTATGGTGTGGTGTAGGGGAAGGGGAAGTGTTCTACAGTCCTATGATCAGGCCCCAGTCTTTCAGTGAGCTTATGCCTCTAGACTGTGAACTTCACAAGTGTTTCTTAGTTTGTTTCTCCTCCCTTAGGTGGTACAAAGTGGCTAGAGTGGACTGGAGTTAGGTATTTCCTTTTCCCAGGTCACTCAGGCTCTATTAATACCAGGTTAGGCTCCAGTTAATCAGTTTTCCCTGAAGGCAGGCCTTATTAAGAAGAGTAGAATGCTCTGGTATATTTTGAAACGATCCCCTTTCCCCTCCACCCTGCCAGAAGCCCAATGGGTTTTTTCTCTGGTGTTTACTATGGCAATATGGTCAAGCTTCTAGAGATAAATCTCACCATACTGTTCTTCCTCCCCCATGATGAGTTTTTAACTCACAGACTTATCCACACTGAGCCTCCAGGAATTTGTCAATTACAGTTCCAGTTCTCCTAGTGCACAGGTTCCCGTGGTGGTTTCCCCTTGTGAGTCTCTGCTCTGCAAGTCCATGATCCCTGTTTCACCTGTTGGTCTCTCTAATCTTAGGGGCAGTGGTTTTCCCTGTGTCCTCCCATATCACAGGGACCCAAGAAGAATTGTTGGGTTTTCAGTCTGTTTAGCTTTTTATTTGTTTGGATGGAGTTTCAGTGTAGCACTGAGGTGTGGGAGTATCATTTCCCATCTACCTTCCAGACTGACACATCTCCCTCAGTGCTTGGAGAACCAGAAGTGACAACAGTTGAGTTACAAGTTGGTTAAAAATGAAAAGGTGCTTTGAGAGTCAGGGGAATTTTCTGTAAGGGTCAGCCTCAGTGGGAGGGGGAGGAATATTGGCACTGGGTCCAGTCAGTGGACAAAAGCAGAGCCAATGCTTGAGATGAAACTAAGTTTCCTATTGGAAATCCATGGAATTGATGAGGAGTATTTGTAGAAAAAGGAGAAGGGTTTACACAAAAACCTGTTTCAAGTTAGCAAGTAAAAATACATACATACATACTTTTTTATAAAATCTAGTGTAAAGTATATGATTGTCTAACACTATGCTGTCTGCTTGAAACTAATACAAAGGAATGTTCAATGTAAACTGTGACTGAAAAAAAATTGTAAAATAAAAAAATCTAGAGCCCAAGAAAAACCAGATGTTTCTTAAAACCTGATATAAATTGCCATGACCTTGGAAATTTTAGTCCAGAAAGAATCAGGGTCAGCCAGGGGAGTAAATGTTTATACAGAGAGTCTAGTAAGAAATATACTTGCTTGCAACAATGTAATATTTCCATAAATTTTGCTTTTATGATGAAATCTTCCTTATGATAAATAACCTTAGAAATTATAAGACTCCTAGTTCAATAAAGTGTTGTTTTTATTTTTAAAAGTCACCATTGAGTAATAATGTAAACTTTCATTTGTAATTCAGATCATTATACCGACATATTGAAGCCAAGAGGCTATATGCAGGCACCACCACTAACTTATCACCTCTCCAGCTCCCAAGCATAAACAGCTTTGCTCAGGTTCATTCTGCACACCCAGATCTGAACAGACAATACATAGGAGAAGCAATAGGCTAACTTTGAGTTTAGTGGCCAAATTGCCTGGGATCACATCAGACCTCTGTTGTTCATTGGCTGGAGATCTTGGGCAGATTACCCAATTCTGTCTTCCATTTCATCATGATGTAATGGTGAAATAAGTTCTTCATAGCACCTAATTCATAAGGTTACTGTGAAGATTAAATGAGTTACCTAATGTTATATGCATTAACTGTTATTACTACTATTACTATTATTTGACACAAAGCAATGAAGACTATTTTTAGAAAAAGGAAAAATATGTTTATTTTTCCTCTTTCCACTCAAAATATATCTTAACCATCAGTGGCATTATATAGATAGCATTTTGGTTAGGCAGCACCAGGCATTATTACAGCATTTGATGGTAAAGATAGCTGTGCTTTTTATTTCTGCTGTCTAGGACTGTATAATGCAGTCAGAATGGGGTAGTGCCATGTGAGATAAAAGCCCAGATAAAAGGCAATCTTTTTTGATGTGGGAAAAGTCAGCTCTTCATTTGGCAGCGTGCTTCTTATATATCTCCAAGAACTCGGTCACATCTTCAGGGGACCCTAAGATGACTGGCGCCCTCTGGTGGATGTCAGTGGGAACGATGTCCAGTATAGCTTCCTTTCCAGTTGTAGCCAATCCTCCTGCCTTCTCCATGATGTAGGCCATTGGGTTACATTCATAGAGTAGTCTCAACTGGAAAACAACAGCCAAGAGCAGGGATTTCACACCAGAAGGTATTACATACAAAGGGGATTTATTTCATAGCAAAACAGTGCAGAGCTAGTGGAAGTTTCCAAGGTAGCTGATACTTTCCCTTTCCTTCTATGAGGTTGTAAAAGCTCCCATATACCCTCCAAAGGTTCCATATAAGACCAAATGGTTAATTTGGCCATTTGGTTAAATTAAGCCATTCATCAAGCTGGAGGCAAGAATAGAGTGCTTGATGCAAACATGAGACGGACCACCTGGACTCAGTACTGTATGACATACTGGCAGAACTGATGGTTCCCTTTTCTTTATAGCATAGAAATTGGACCTAATGAGTGATTCTGTGTGTGTTTTGGATGGAGCTTTGCCTATTCTAAAAGCATACAAAAATTCATGGTTGTGTCGGGCTGCAGACATCTGGAAGGCATACTGGCTCCTCCAAACAGTATAATATTGTTTCCAACTCTACACACATTCCTTTTATAATTCTCCCAGGGCTTGCAGGTTGGGATTTACTGTATTATATGCCTTGGCATTTACTTTTAAATACTAACTTTTTTTATTGTATATATTTTCATGCAGTCTGCCTACTGAGCAGACAGCTTTTTGCAGGTGTTTCCTGACTCTATTTCCATACAGGTGACATGGCCAGATTTGCAAAACTGAAAAAAAGAAGAGACTTCAGTATTTGTGCTAAGGAACAATATTTTGAGTCATTATAGAAAGTGCTATGAAGCAGGCTTATCATACAGGTTGGGATCCTGGAGGTGGCTATGGCACGAGTGGTATTTTAAGTAAGAATGCCTTCAGTGAAATGGACACCATGTGCTGTAAATAGAGATCTGAACATATGTAAATATACGGATTTCTAATTATTTTAAGGGGATTATTGTTCCCATTCCTTCTCTCATATTAAAAAAAAAGGCACTCTGTTTATTGGGAAAAACAAAAGGACAATATCTGAGAAGGAAAACTGTCCCTCTGTGTAGAAGTGGGACCACTTAGCCAGCCTGGGCCAGCAGAGCCCAACCCCAGCTTGTGCAAACGCTGTGGGCATTAACTGGTGCAATCATTGCTAACAGCTTACCTAAAAGCTCTAGGTTTCCCCTGAGATTCTTTCCCTCCCTAGAAAGGTACTGTTTTCCAAGCAGAAAATGTCAGCTCATTAGTTATTTCTATTTTATGCCCTTTAAAAGCAATCAAAGGAAACCTCTATTTGTAATACATATTTGATTTGCTGCCTTGGTAATTAGGGCTGGACTGTTTCATTTCTCTTTATGAATGGGATTTATTTTGCTCAAGCCAAACCCTGTGCCCAGTGGAAGCACTGAGCACTTTTAGTCCCTTCCTGACCATAACACCATTACTTATCTTTGGCATGGCAGGGCTCTGCAGAGACCATTTTTAGCAGCTGTTTCCTGGCTTTAACCTTTAATCTAGACAAGAATATGCCACAGATACCCTTCACATCCTACTGCAGAGTCTAACAGTTATCATAACCTTTCTCTCTAAGTCAAATCCCCGGGTTGCAAATGAAACCCACTGCTTCTCAGAGGATCTGTTTACCTTTCCTTTGGGGCTCTTCTTGTTAGCTGGGTACAGAAAGATCCCACCATAGACCAGGGTGCGGTGAACATCAGCCACCATGGAACCCACGTACCTGGAGCCATAGGGCGCTGAGTTATCCTGCAAGGGTAAGACCAGCAATAATTAGCGTTGCAGAAAAGAAAGTTCTCCATGTATCCTTTACACTTATTTGATTCAAAATGGTTTAGTGAGCACCTATACAGTGCATGTTTAGGTGTTTTCTAGGAAATGTGATGAAAATCCTGTTCCCAAGGAGCAGAAAAATGGAAAAATGGAGGCAGTCTCTCATATGTCTTACACTATGCCAGATTACTCTCAGAAGCCTTGAGGAGGGTGCTGTTGATTCTGGCTCTGTGGTTGGGGCAGGCATCACAAAAATGGTACCACTTAGCAGAACCTTGCAAGAAGGATTTTGTCAAGCTAAGGAAGGTGGGGTTTTCATCTTGTGGGAGAGGGAGGTGCACAAGCAAACAATGTACAGAAGCAAATTCTGTCTACCTGGGTCTGGGGGAGGAGCCAGGGTTGGGGTGGGGATGAGGAGAATCCAAGGTAAAGTGGAAGGAGAGATGATACAGATGGAAGGAAAGTCTGGGGCCGACTCTGAGGGCCCTGAATGTCATGCTAAGATTTGGGCTTCCTCCTCAGGACACAGCAGCCATCAGTAGCATCTGATAACAGTATGGCAATATTGGACATTCCCATATAGAAGCAGCTCTACAGACAGTCATTTCTTTTCTTCACATTCACTAATTAGTAACTGAGGGATACGAAGATGGACACCTTCAATCTTGTGACAGTTTAATAGAAATCCATCAGATATTATAGAGCAGGTACCAATTGGCTTAATTATCCTGATTTCATTCTGCCAAGAGAAAGTAGCAAAGAGCTCTCACTTACTGGTGGAAACTTCTTCCTCTGTACATATTCAGTGACAACAGGGTCAAAATCCTTAGCATAACCTTCATTGAGGCTGTAGATGTTCCCTTTCTTCTTGATCTTCACATCCTTGTCCACCAAAATGAACTCTCCAATGGCCTGTGAAACAGGAGGGAAAGATGTAGAGGGGATGAGCCCTCTCACCCTTCTTGTGTGAGGGTGCAGCAGGCTTGGCTAGGTTGAGGGGAGGTGCACGAGGCCAGCAGTCACACCCATGTATCATTACCAGGAGCCTGGTTTTCCATTTCATGAGCTTTTCTTATTAAGATATAACAGACATGTAGCATTATATTACTTTCAAGTATACAACACAGTGATTCAATATTTGTACACATTGTAAAATGACCACGAGCACAGGTTGCTTCTCATGGCTCTGGGACACCAGTGCCTCCAGCCCACCTCTCCAGTAACTGTGAGCAGGGACAGGGCCGGGAAGTGTCATTGGTGTGACTAGTGGAAAGGAACTGGGAAAGACAAGAGGTTGCTGCAGATGTTAATGGACATAGAGGAGACTTTTGACCTTGCTTTTAAATGGTTTCAGTAAAAGATGAAAGAAAACAGCCCTGGCCGGTAAGGCTCAGTTGGTTGGAGCATCATCCAGTAAACTGAAATTTGGTAGGTTCAATTCCCAATCAGTGCACACGGGAGAGGCAACCGAATGATGTTTCTCTCTCACATCAATGTTTCTCTCCCTCTCTTTCTCCCTTCCTTCCCTTCTCTCTAAAATCAATTAGCATGTCCTTGGGTAAGGATAAAAAAGAAGAAAGAAAACATTAAAAAATATGGAGGGCAGAAATAGGTAAAACAGCAGCAAACCCTCAGGGAGAATAAGAATTTTTGTGTCTGAAGCAACATAACAAGTGTATGCCTTCAAAAAACAAAACAAAACAAAACAAAGACTTGGTGCAGACAGGAGGTGGGCTATCAACTAAATCACACCAACATGCACAGGGCTGGTCTCAGCTTTCCATTTCTACCTGCTGGCATTTTCCTTTTGTGTGTTACTGTAGAAAAGAGTAGAACCCTGAGTTTTGGTTCACAGCATATATAAGTTCAGGTGACTTTGCTCAGTGACTCACAAAATATTTCTCAGAACGTCCTTCCACAATGTCCTGGTGCTAAGCTGGTACCTTTAATGCTTAGGTTCTTCAAAAGAGTTTGGAATTTGGAGGAAAACTGTCACATAACTCCTATTGCTCTGGACTGAGGATTGCTTGGGACTCCTGTGTGTCACTGAGAAGAAGGTGATTGGGGCTCTGCTCATCTGGGGCAGGATGCTCCATGGAAGCAAGAGTTAGAAGAAGAAAGGCCCCATCAACACGTTTCTCCCCAGCCATTTATTCCCATAGCAAAGGTTGCTCCCTGCCAGTATGCGGCATGTTGGAACTACAGAGGGAGGAAGGAAGATAGGAAAGAAGAAGGGTAAGGGAAGGAAAAGAGAGTAGAATTAACAGTGGTCATTGAGAGGTATCATTGCAAGTGATTTTTTTCTTTTATTCTTTTTTGGTATTTCCAACTCTTTTGAACACAAATATGTAGAAATATTCTTTTATGGTCAGAAAACTAAGTAAAAAATAAATAAATATCTTTACCAAAAAAAAGTCTGGAAAATGAAGCCATGGCATAACAGGTGCTGCAGAGCTCATGCAGCCATGCTTTGCAGACACCCCACCCAGGTACCTAACCAGAGCACCCAGGATGTGGAGGGGAGTCCCTGTACATGGAGACAGGAGATGAAAAGCTTTTTGAAAGTTAAAACCTGCTAAAAATGCAAATATAGGGGTTGGGATCCTTTCTAGCAGAAACTCTCAGCTTGTCCCCTCAGCAAGCCAAAATGAAAAGAAAATGCTAAGCCAGTCCAAGGCTCAACCCCAGCATCAGCCAGCAGAGGGTTAGTCAGATCTCTGGAGGACAGCCAGCAGGGGATAGGACAGTGGGCTTGCATTTTTCTTCCAAACACTGAGGCCATTAGGTGTAAGGAGAGCCAAAGACTATCAAACACACAGAAACTCACTCCTGGAGACACCAGTCTGCAATTTAGAAACAAGAAGAGATTTAATTTTTTTCTACATGTCCATCAATATAAAGGTAACAGAGATGTCACCAGAAGAATGTCAGGGAAGTAGGAAATGTCTGGTGAGACATTAAATCAATACTCATCAATGATTTCTGAAACTGTACCCTGGGCTCCAAGTGAAGTGTGCTCTGGTTCTGCCACTATTTTCCCTGAGGTCACCTCATTTGGAGGCTGCACTTAGTGCGGGTGCCCCACCCTTGTTTACTTATTAAGTGCTGGTACTTCCAAAGAGGCAAAGTCCAATTGTGCAAGAGTGCAGGGACAAAGGCAGCCTAGGCTCCAATCTGTGCGACCTGCCAACAAGCCCCACACTTTAACTGTCCCTCACAGGACTCCAGCTGCCTGTTTGTCCTTGTGTTCAGTTTGTTAGCAAAAAACACCAAATAAATAACATGCTTCATTAATGTCTCCCAAGAACATTTCCAAAACTAAAAGCTGTTTATAAACCCAATTCTTTTCCCCTTGGGACACTGGACCAAACACATAATATATGTGCTGACCTATTAAAGATTATTCTATGGAATTTGTATTTGGTGGTGTGGCTAGTTGCACCAGCTATTTAAAAAGATTTCTTTCCCTAATTTAACTGCTCTCTTGACACTGTCATCTAACTCAATAAATAACTAATTCCAATTAATAGATATGTAGAAGACATTATGCGCAAACCAAAACTGCTAATGAATATTTTTCATGGCACCGTTGGCTTCTCTGCATCAGGTAGCTTTTCTCTATAAGGTGGACTAAGGAGTTATCTTCATTTTCTTCTTGATTTTCATGCCTTCAAGTCATCAAAGCCTTGTCAAACTGCAAAGGTTAACTAAATGTTTGCACGCACGTGCACATCAAATAAATTTGGTAGCTATTTTTGAGGAAACAATGCTTCAGTTAGGATACCTGTTCACTCAGGAAAATAAGCTAGTAATGAATATAGTAGGTGGTAAATGGACCATCTATAGGCCCCATCTGATCCATAAATGTGTTTTAGTTGGCTAGCACACTGTTTTACAAATCCAGAAACATCATATTTAAAAAAAAACAACAACAACAGTGTTTCTTAAATATCAGAAGCCTTGGCAGTTGTCGCTATTCCTCTCCAGTTCACCACAGTCCCCAACATCACCCCGGCCCTCCTTCCCATTTTACTCATTTATATGGCTTGCCTGGCCTTGATAGGCATTGGGGTCAGTTGAGTAATGTCTGTTCTAAATATTTCATCTTGGAACAAAGGGTCCCTTTTAATGTCTGTAGAGATGTTATTTAGCACTGCAATAATCTCACGATGTACACATTGTCCTCCATTTCACTCATTTCCCCACATCATCTCTGTCCCTCCCTAGAACTTATCTCCCACCACTGTGTACCCCTGCCCACCCCACCCCACACACACAGAAGAGACATTCACTCACAGCCATCAGCCAAGTACCTAACCTCCCACCGGGTCTCTCACCGGATCCAGCATGAAGCAGTTGACACCACATGCCATGGCCAGGACCAACATGGTAGCACTGCCATACAGTGCATAGCCAGCGGCCACTAGGTTCCGTCCTGGCTGAAGAGCATCCTTCTCAGAAGGCTCATCAGTAGAGTTCTAGGACAAGGAAGAAAACAAACACATTTTTGTTTTTGTCTTTGTGGTTCTTTTTTTAGTTCAACCATTAGCAAGATTCATTATCAAGGTGCTTTCTTAATGAAATAGGGCATCTTCTTAAAGGGACCTTTCTTCTTGAACCAGTGATATCCTGATTATATTACCACAGCAGCCTTCCCACATACCCCAGATTTCCTGCAGCTGGATCCTTCTTTCCAATTATGGCCCTCCTCCAATTTTACTAATTTGATATTCCCTCATTTCTCTATTTTCACTTTCAGGAAAGAGCCTGCATTCTTGCCAGCTCCCACTAATTTAATCTTATTATGTGCATCAATGTCTTTCACCTGCCTATTCCATCTTCATTTAAACAAATTAAGACTGGGCTGCAGGGCTGTGAGTCTAGTGAGGACATCAATTTCATGAGTTCTTGCCAGTGGCAGCCCATTCCCCAGTGAGCAGTGTGGACAACATCACTTATATATCAAAGAAATTTTCAGAAATACAGGAATTTAGAATGTCTCTCCAGACTCATCACAGATTAGAGCAGATACTTCCCATTTTTGACCATGACTCACAGTAAGAAATACATTTTCCATAACAAACCAATATCAACACACACTCATGCTCACACAACTACAAAAATGTAACAAAACCATACTTACACTTAGAACATGACATACACTCTAATCTTTTCTTCTTTTTTCCATTAAAAACACAGCCCACTGGGTCATGTGACCCACAGTTGTGCAATATTAAGGAACTGAACACCCTACAGCAGGGGTGTCAAACTCACCAGGGGCCACATCAGCCTCATGGTTGCCTTCAAAGGGCTAAATGAAATTTCAACTCCTTAATAGTTAAGGAGTAGTTACATTTATACTGTTCTAAAATTATTTCAGACCTTTGAAGGAAACTGTAAGGCTGATGTGGTCCCTAGTGAAAATGAGTTCGACACCCCTGCCCTAAGGAGATTGCTCCTAATCAGTGATTGCTAACTGACAATTACCATCTTTATTAATACTTGATTGGTTTCTTTGTTCCTCAAAACAGCCCCAAATATTTCAATTTGAACACTATCTACTTGAATTTAAACAGAGATGAAAATGGGCAATTTCTGCCAATTCTATTTATTTGTTCTAAACCAGAGATTCAGCAGCTGAGAGTAAGGGAACCTACAGCATGATGCTGACAAAGGTCATTCCAACAAAAACATTCACAGTGATTTCTTCCATATGTTTTGAAAGTGTGGCCCAGAGATCATCTGCATCAGAATCCCTTGGGAAACTCATTTAAATGCATATTCTGGGGCTGTGGGCTAATCCTGTTAAGTTAGACTTTCTAAGGGAGCCTAAGAATCTGCATTTTACCATTTATCATAGATGACTCCCTGAAGTTTAAGAACTACTTATGTAAAAGGAAGAATTGCTAAACCATTCTTTCCATTTTTCCCTCATCCCCACTCCTCGTGTTTAATAAATGGTTTTCATCAAGGTAGCTGGCTGTTAGGTGGTTGGGCTGGGTCAAGTTATTTGATTTGGTCTAGTTTGTATTCACAGGATAGCAAGCATAGGTTAACACAGACTAAACACAAAATAGAAAATTTGAGTTGTTTTCCCTAACTACTAATTTTGCCTGTGCACAACCTTGAAAAAGAAACGAGCTTCCTTCAAAGCCAGTGATATAGTGGGAAGACTCAGGCTTCTAACTATCCTCTATCTCAACCACTTATCCCATCAGCCAGTGTGAAATCAGACAAAGGGAATACGTAAACAAGTAAATTAGCTGGAAGCTGCTAGAGGCTTGGAGTGATCAGTTCTCCATTACTAAAAGTTCCCCGGAGATTTCACCTTGCCTAGTACTGTCCATGCCTGCGTGCCTATGGGGAAGGTGCAAGAGTAAATAGGCTTTCCCTGAAATCCTGTCATCAAATAATCTTATCCATTGACACCTTTGCATGAAATAAGAAATGGTAACACTGTCTAAGATCCACATACTCACAACAAACAGAAAATAATGCCATAAAGTCATGGATTTGGAGGAATTCTCTCCTTGCCTGATCCCCTTTTCCGTGCATGAATTCCCTCCCCCAAACCCTCAGCAGTAAATGCCTTTGCTCCAAGAGACTCATTACATTTTCATGAGGATGCCCATGGGCCAATGTGTATAAAAAACTTGGCAAAATTAGGAAGCCTCTGGACCAAACCCTTCTCTGTGTATCCTGGGCCACCACCTGCTGCAGGTATTGGTGTGTTTTATTCCACACCATCCCATAAAGGGCATAGGGGAAGACACATGGATTCTGGAGACTCAAGGTGGCAGAGGAGAAAGTCAGGCAGAAGTGTGATGGGGCTGTCATGTCACCAGATAGTCTTCCCTTAGAGGGATAGCCAAACCCTCCTTAGAAGGTCTCACATGACATTTAGCAGAGTCCCCAGTAACTTGGCCAGTATTGTTCAGCTACTATTGTACCCAGAAACTGAGCAGACAAAAATATATTTGATGCCACTGCCTCAAGGAGTTTATAATTGGTACTGAAGATCAGTTAGTTTTGCCTAGCCAGTATCTATCACCCTGCTGCTGATAACTGATAACTGCACCTCAATCTTCCTTAAGATACTGTCTCCCTCCCTTTCAGCTCCAGGGTGGGTACGTGACCTCGACCTGGTCAACCAGATCATTACATGCTTCAGGCCATAGTGATTGGTTGAATAGTGATTAGGCACATGACCTAACCCAAGCCAATCAGAGCCAAAGAGATGATATTCTTGTTGGAACTGTTGGAAAAGAGGCTTAAACTTTCTACATGAGCTGCTGAGAGGATTGGGTGTGAGCCTGGACCTGTTGGCAGCCATTTTGCCATTAGAGAGGAGGGTAGAGATAAATGGGAAGTGTGTCCGGATTATGTGGTCTCAGCCCTGAATGCAGCTGCACTGGAAGTATACCTACCCACTGGGCTTTTTAGTTATGTGAACTAATTTTCTTTTCCTCCCTCCCTCCTTTAAGTTAGAGCTGTGACACTGTCTACTGAATCTTAGTACGGAAAACCACACTAGTAATATTAACGGCTACCATTTATTGAGCACTTTTTGTGAGCCAGACACTATTTTCAGTGCATTAGACTTAATTTTCAGTATCTCCCCTTTACACTTAAGGAAATAAGAGGCAAAGAGTGATTACCTTGCTCAAAGTCCCACAGAGCAAGTGTCAGTGTCAGGAAGCCATCATTAATCGCTAATATTACATATAGCTATTATTAATACATCTTCCTGTGCTCAGTTAAGGGAAATATGTTGAATTCTGAAGCTGTTAGAACACTTTTAAAACTCTGCTTTGAATTATGGAGATTGGATTTTTTAAAGTTATAAATTATAACTTTAAAATTATAATGTAAATTATAAGGCAAATTATAATGTATCCAGTAGAGGATGGCCACACTTGCAAATGTCTAAAGTTAATATCTCATATTAAAGATGTTTAACTTAAAGAAGATGTTTTTAAAGGAGGGCAGGAAAGCCATTTCTAAACATCTAAGAATCTTATTTTCTGAATCTCTAAAAGGCCAAATAACAATAGGGAGACATATTTGACTTAATATTTGGATAAATATTCTAACTGTGATGGTTGCTCAACACCTCAGGGGAATTGGTATAATAAGGGGGAATTCTGGTATAATATTGGTATAATAAGGGAATTCTGGTATAATAAGCCAGAAACTGGATGACCCCTCCTCAAGCGCTGCAGCAGGAACCACATGGAACACTGGACCATGTGCTCTCAAGGTCCCCTTGGAACCTGTTTCTGTGCATTGTGTGGGCAAGGCCAGCACTGTTGCCGGTTCCAGTTACAGATACTGAACTCCTGAGCAGGTGCCCTAGGGAGCTGAATTCTAGCCCAGAACATCCTTGCAGAAAGCAGGAAAGGTTACCTTTGAAATATCAGGGACATCAATATTTATGCCCCATAAGCCCTCAAATGGTTTCAAATAATCAATAAGCCTTTTGAAAACTGAAATGACTTAAAGGCACTATCATACTCTTTTTTCAGGCTTTTAAGAGAGTCACTTCAAGCTTACTGAGTGTGGAGATTCATTGCTGACTTGTAGCATCTTTAATTCAAGCTGCTGTAGCATGCAGTTTTGATTTTTTTAGTTAATAGCCAGTGTCCCTCTGTTTTTTAGTTTTATTTCTTTTTTTCCCTTCAAAGAGTCTTTGTTTGGGGGTTTGAGGTGGAGACAAGGGCTGGCAAACATCATGCTGCTTTAGTTTTGGTCGAGTCATTAACCAGCGTTCTTCCTTCACATGAGGACTTTTGCTACAAACCTCACTATACTAAAGATGTGATATTTTGCAGGTAAAATTATCTGCTTCCATGTCTACAACAAAAATGGTATATTTCATGGTTGACTTAAGAAATAAATAATTCTTGCATTTACCTTTCTGACATGAGCATTAGAACCTATTCTCAAATTGATTTGATGTGGATCTCCCTCTGAGCCCAGACAAAAGCAAAATATACTCCAATGACAAAAGAGAATTATTCCATGGTTGTCCTAATTTCCATGTTTGAAAGGAGGTTATGTGCAATACTAGACAACAAGTCATTTTGAATAGTAAAGTGAAAGTCAGGGTCTCACTGCTTAAATTATGGCCTCTGTATTCTAAAATAGGGAAGTGCGAGAAATTCTTCAATCAGCTCGACCTGTCACCTTGTCCATTAAGGTAAAGAAACTGGTTCATCTTCAACATCTTCTGTGAGGTTTTATTGCCAAATTAAATAAGAAGGGCTGAAGCCAAAATGACATTTCAGATTTCATGTTTTATGATGGGCCCACAGGTATTCACTCTATTTTGTTTGTATATTTGAGCACTGTTGCATCACTTGTGCGTGTATGTACACAGACACACACGACAAATGACACTTAGAGAAAGAAGGAAAAGAGAAGCTTCGGAGGTAGAGTTGCCTACCCAGGTCACACAAGTGGTAGGTCAGGACAGGAATCCTTGTCCCCATGCTGCAGGAGTATGCAGCAAACTGTTTCCACAGGTGACATTGGGATATTGTGGGCTCTACTGTCATACAGTTTCTACCACAGCCATGTGGCCCTGCCAGTGCATCATGAAATCAGCCAAAAGCAACATAAAAAGAAATGAGTTGACCATATGCCATTAAAACATTGTTTATAGACAGTGAAAATTAAATTTTATGTAAATGTTATGGGCCATAAAATATTATCCTTTAGTTTATACAGCCATTTAAAAATGCAGAAGGGTTATTTTTTGCTTATAGATCTCAAGCAACTGGCTGAATTTGGCCTGGGAAGAGTCATAGTTTGAGGACCCCTGATTTGGAGCATTTAAAGGGCAATTTTGACATGATAATCTCTATTGTTGTCACAATGTCACAATTCTCAGTTCACATACAATCACCACTGTAACTACCCTCTATAGTCTCTTTTACTATTAACTTCATTTTCTATTATAAAGAACAACTTATGAGTAAATTATATGTCTCTTCCTACCCACACTTCACTACATTTTCTTTTAACAACTTAATGGATCTTCACTATGCAGCTAATGGTGAAAAAGTCAAAACTAGGGACATAAACCTATGTCAAACCTCACAGAGTTTCATGATATGCATTCTGGCTGCTGGAACAGTGAATCAGGACTGGCCACTGGACCATAACTTTGCTGTTGATCCCAAACCAGGGACTTCACACATGACATTTTACCTTTCTGTAGATGCCAAAAATGGTTCCAATGGACACAAGGCAATCGATGTTGGAGGATCCATCAAGGGGATCAAAACAGACCACATATTTACCCTGAACAAAAGATAAAAAGGAAATACAACTTTACATTAAAAATTAATACATTATAACAAAATAGTATAACTAAGGGGATAAAAAATGGAATCTAGGGGAAAGTTCAAGAAGTGTTAGTATTTTTTAAGTATATTTTATTAATTATGCTATTACAGTTGTCTCATGTTTTTTCTCCCCTTTATCCCACACTGCCCTGCACTGCTCCCCCCACCAGCATTCTACCCTCTTAGTTCATGTCCATGGGTTGTACATGTAAGGTCTTTGGCTTCTCCATTTCCTATACTATTCTTGACCTCCCCCTGTCTATTTTGTGCCTACAAATTATGCTTCTTATTCCCTGTACCTTTTCCCCCAATCTCCCCCCACCCTCCCCACTGATAACCCTCCATGTGATCTCCATTTCTGTGAATCTGTTCTTGTTGAAGTTGTCTGCTTAGTTTTTGTTTTCATTTTTAGGTTCAGTTGTCAATAGTTGTGAGTTGTCATTTTACTGTTCATAGTTTTTTATCTTCTTTTTCTTAGGTAAGTCCCTTTAACATTTCATATAATAAGGGCTTGATGATGATGAATTCCTTCAACTTTACCTTATCTGAGAAGCACTTTATCTGCCCTTCCATTCTAAATGATAGCTTTGCTGGATAGAGTAATCTAGGATGTAGGTCCTTGTCTTTCATGGCTTGTAATACTTCTTTCCAGACCCTTCTTGCCTATAAGGTGTTTTTGTTTTTGTTTTTGTTTTTGAGAAATCAGCTAATAGTATTATGGGAACTCCTTTGTAGGTAACTGTTACCTTTTCTCTTGATGCTTTTAAGATTCTCTCCTTATCTTTGACCACGGCTGGTGTGGCTCAGGGGACTGAGTGCCAGCCTTCAAACAAAAGGGTCACCAGTTCAATTCCTAGTGGGGCACACACCTGGACTGTAGGCCAGGTCCCCAGTACGGGGTGCTCAAGAGGTGACCACACAATGATGTTTCTCTCCCTTGCTTTCTCCCTCCCTTCCCCTCTCTAAAAATAAATAAATTAAAAAATGGTTTTTAAAGATTCTCTACTCATCTTTAATCTTGGGTACTTTAATTATGATGTTTCTTGGTGTGTTTCCTCTTGGCTCCAACTTCTTTGGGACTCTCTGAGTGTCCTGGATTTGCATGTGTAGCCCCACTGCCAGATTGGGGAAGTTTTACTTCATTATTTTTTCAAATAAGTTTTCAATTTTTTGCTCTTCCTCTTCTCCTTCTGGCACCCCTATGATTTGGGTGTTGGAATGTTTAAAGTTGTCCCAGAGGTTCCTAAGACTCTCCTCATTTTTTTTAATTCTTGTTTCTTCATTCTCTTCCAGCGAATGTTTATTTCTTTCTGATGTTTCAAGTTATTGATTTGAGTCCTGGTTTCTTTCCTTTCACTGTTGATTCTCTGTATATTTTTCTTCACTTCACATAGCCTTCAATTCTTCCTTCATTTTGGGACTGTACTCAATCATTTCTGTGAACATCCTGATTACCAGTGTTTTGAACTGTGCATCTGACAGGCTGGCTATCTCTTTGTCACTTAGTTGTATTTTTCCTGGAGTTTTGATCTGTTCTTTCATTTGGCCCACACTTCTTTGATTGGCACACCTGTTACATTGTAAGGGGCGGAGCCTTAGGTGTTTGCCAGGGCAGGGCAACCCACTTAGCTGCACTGTGGGGGAGGGGTCAGAGAGGAAACAGTGCTGCTTGCTAGCTTGCTCAGCCCTTCCCCACTTTCTGTCACTTCCTTCGCTTCCCATAAGTGGATTGTGCCCTTTCAGGCACTGATTCCCAGGTAGGTGGTTTTGTGTACATTCTAGGATCCTGTGGGCCCCTCCAACAGACTCTCTTGTGAGACAGGGAGTTTCTCCCACCACCACAACCCCCACACGTCTTTAAGTAATGTTACTCTTATTTATACTCTGTCATGGAAGGAGTGAGTGTCATACAAAATGAAAATAATGACTATATATGTATACCAAAACATCATTAGGCAGAAAAAACACAACTTAAAATAAGAGGTATAGATGGAGGTAATGTAATATAGATAAATAAGTCTTAATTTTCTACGTCATTGATATAACTGAATCATAATTCTGGCTTGTGTTTCCTTGCAGCCAAATGAAGAAAAAAAACAAGGTTAGTCATTTATCTATTTTCATTCACTAGGGAAATAAGGAAGATAATTCTTTCAGTGAAGCAAAGACATTAAGATCTAAAGAAATTTCTCATGCAGGTCTTATACATGACACTTGTCATTGCAGTGCACAGAGCTCTTAACAATGGCCCAACTGGACTTCCCAAAGGAAGTAAACCTCCTTTGCAGTGGAAATACTAAAGATTCATTCTTCCAGTGTGATTGTCACTAGAATGCTGGAGCTGGCTGGTATCCATGCTCAAAAGTTAATCATGCACATCTCTTCCCAACTCTGCTTTCAGTGATGTCACGTTAATAGCTTGAAATCAACTACAGGACCCTGACCTATGTGGCTCAGTGGATTAAGCAATGGCCTGTGAACCAAAGGATTGATGGTTCAGTTTCCAGTCAGGGCACATGCCTGGGTTGCAAGGCAGGTTCTTGGTTGAGGGTGTGTGAGAAGCAGCCACCTGTTGTTTCCCTCTCACATCAATGTTTCTATCCTCCGTTTTCTCCCTCCCTTCCCCTGTCTCTAAAAATAAATAGAATCTTTTTTAAAAAAAAAAAAGAAAATAAATCAACTATGGGGAGTATTTACAAAATTGATACTGACAATTAGTAAAAATCAGAGATTTTTCTTCTTAAGACAGAACCAGTTTACCAGCACACCACTGGGGTTTTTCCATCTCCAAATTAGTTGCTTTAAGATGTGGTTTTTGCAAACATATCAAAAATTTATATGGAACTGTAAACATACCCAAGTAGCCACAGCAACTTTAAGAAAGAAGAACAAAGTAGGAGGGATCACAATACCTGATATCAAACTATATTACAAGGCCACTGTAATCAAAACAGCCTGGCATAAAAATGGACACATAGATCAATGAAATAGAATAGAGAGCCCAGAAATAAACCCAAGTCTCTACGGTCAACTAATATTTGACAAAGGGAGCAGAAGCATATAATGGAGTAAATATAGCCTCTTCAACAAATGGTTTAGGGAGATCTGGACAGCTATATGCAAAAAAAAAAAAAAGAAACTCAATCACTAACTTATGCCATACACAAAAATAAATGCAAAGGGATAAAGAACTTAAACATAAGTCATGACATCATAAAAGTTCTAGAGGATAACATAGGCAGGAAAATTTCAGATATCCCATGCAGCAATATTTTCATTGATATGTCCCTTAGTGCAAGGAACATAAAAGAAAGAATAAACAAATGAGACTTAATTGAAATAAAACGCTTCTGCATAGCTAAAGAAAACATCAGCAAAATGAAAAGGGAACCAACCATATGGGAAAATTTATTTGCCAATGATACCTCAGACAAGGGTTTGATCTCCAAAATATATAAAGATCTCACACGAGTCCATTCCTGGAAGACAAACAACCCAATTAAAAAGTGGGCAAAGGACCTGAACAGACACTTCTCCAAGGAGGACATACAGAACAGCCAGAGACATATGAAAAGATGGTCAGCATCACTAGCCATTAGAGGGATGCAAATTAAAACCACAATGAGTTGTTACCACTTCACACCAGTCAGAATGGATATCATAAACAAATCAACAAACAAGTGTTGGAGAGGATGTTCAGAGAAGGGAACCCTCGCACACTGTTGGTGGAAATGCAGACTGGTGTGGCCATATGGAAAACAGTATGGAATTTCCTCCAAAAACTAAAAATGGAACTGCCTTTTGACCCAGTAATTCCACTCCTGGGTCTATACCCTAAAAATACTGAAATACCTTATGCACCCCTGTGTTTATAGCAGCACAATTCACAATAGCAAAATGTTGGAAGCAACCTAAGTGCTCATCAGTAAATGAGTGGATCAAAAAACTGTGGTACATTTACCCAGTGGAATAGTACATAGCAGAAAGAAAGAAGGAGCTCCTACCTTTTGCAACAGCACGGATGAGGGTAAAGAGAGAATCTTAAAAGTAGTTGGTTACTTACATAGAGTTCCCCTGAGCCTTTGTCCAACCCAACTTATGGGCCTACCCAAGCTGTTAACAGTGGCTTTTCCATATAAATGGGTGGTTTGTACTCATGCTTCACAATTTCCTAAATCCTCTCAACCAAGAAACAGCTGGTGTCAGTGAACCTCCAGCCCCTCTACTTCTTGCTTAGTGTCCCAGGCCCAGCAATAGCAGCAATCAGCCTAGGTTTACAGCTTGGTTTCATCTGGGAACCTCCAAGCCCAGCACAAGAAGCAGCCATCAGCAGGCTGCTTTGTACCTCATACAGGGTGACTCGTATAAAAACAAGTGGGAGCTGACCTTGGCCTGTACCACCCAGGAAATCCCAGGGTCAGCACACCCAGGGGACAGGTACAGACCATTTCAGAGCACCTCCATCCTGCCCCCTGCACAGCTAATCCCCCATGGAGGACAGAGATTTGTGGTCAGTGTTCATAGCCAGTCCTTGTAGCTGACTGGCCTAGGAAAATCCCTCCCATTGATCTGCCAACAGCAGCCAATGCTCAACTACAAGAGGAGGGTGTACTCAGCCCATATGGAGGATGCACCTTGAGTACCCAGCTTGGGAGATAGGGGAGGCTGTGTCATTGGACCCTACAGGACACCTAGTAAATTAGGCCAGGCTACCAAGACACAGAGTCAAAGCAGCTGTACCTAGTACATAGAAACACACACAAGGAGGCTGTTAAAATGAGAAGACAAGGAAACATGGCCCAAATGAAAGAACAGATCAAAACTCCAGCAAGAACTAAACAAAATGGAGATAAGCCATCTATCAGATGCAGAGTTCAAAACACTGGTTTTAAGGATGCTCAGGAAACTTAGTGAGGACCTCACAGCATGAAAGAGACCCAGTCAGAAATGAAGGATACACTAATTAAAATAAAGAACAATTTACAGGGAAACAACAGTAGAGTAGATGTAGCCAAGAATCAAATCAATGATTTGGAACATAAAAAGCAAAAAACAAGCAATCAGAACAACAAGAAGAAAAAAGAATCCAAAACAATGAGGATAGCATCAGGGCAACTTCTGGGACAACTTCAAGTACTCCAACATCCACATCCTAGGGATGCCAGAATGAGAAGGGAAAGATCAGGAAATTGGAAATCTATTTGAAAAAATAGTAAAAGAAAACTTCCCTAATTTGGTGAAGGAAATAGACATGCAAGTTCAGGAAGCACAGGGAATCCCAAACCAGATGGATGCAAGGAGGCCCATTCCGAGATATATCATAATTAAAATGCCAAAGGATAAAGGTAAAGAGAGAATCTTAAAAGCAATTAGTTACCTACAGGGGAGTTCTCATAAGACTGTCAGCTGATTTCTCCAAAGAAACTTTGCAGGCCAGAAGGGATTGGCAAGAAATATTCAAAGTCATGAAAAGCAGGGACCTGCAGCCAAGATTGCTCTACCCAGCAAGGCTATCAATTAGAATAGAAGGGCAGATAAAGTGCTTCCCAGACAAGAAAAAAACTAAAGGAATTCATCATAACCAAGCCATTATTATATGAAATACTAAAGGGATTCATTTAAGAAAAAGAAGATCAGAATTATGAACCATATAATAGCAATAAATACATATTGATCTGCAATTGAATATAAAACACAAACTAAGCCAACAAGTACAGACACAGAATCATGGATATGGGGAGATTTTTGATGGTTGCCAGATGAGAGGGGAGTGTGGGGGAATAGGTGAAGAGTTGAGGACATTAAGAAGGAGAATTTGGCCCTGGCTGGTGTGGCTCAGTGGATTGAGTGCCGGTCTGTGAATCAAAGGGTCACTGGTTGGATTCCCAGCCAGGGCACGTGCCTAGGTTGCAGGCCAGGTCCACAGTAGGGGGTGCATGAGAGGCAATCACACCCTGATTTTTCTCTCCTTCTTTTTCTCCCTCCTTTCCCTTCTGTCTAAAAATAAATAAATAAAATCTAAAAAAAAAAGAAGAAGTACAAATTGGTAGTTACCGAATAGCTACTGTGATAAAAACTACAGTATAGGAAATGGACCAGTCAAAGAACTTATATGCATGTCCCACAGACATAAAAATGGTGTGGGGATTGCCTGAGGGAGTATGGGTGCTGGGAGGAGCAGTGCAAAGGGAGTGCAATTTGGGATAATTGTAATAGCATAATCAATAAAATAGAATTTAAAAGGATAGACTGAAGGCAAGGAACAAAAGGGACAGGTAAAGCTAGGCACTGTTTAATTGCCCTTGTACAAAGCAGGCTGACTGCAGTATAGAACTGGTTCCCCCAAAGGGGCTGGGAAGAGGTGAAGCCAAGAGGGTATAAGATGAGCTCAAAGGTGTGATAATTACTGTGTTGGTATAATTATTATTATGCATTCTTATTAAATCCTTGTGTTAGAGATTCTTATCTGTGGTTTTTGCTCCATTAGTATGCTCCCAAAGTGTAAGGATACTTTCTTCTTTTCACATCTATAACTCAATGTTTTGCAAACAGAATATAGTCAATATGTGTTAGATTAAAATTATTTAAGGTGGCATTAAATAAATAAATAAATTTCTGCATAAAATTAAGATAATTCTGATTCCCCGACCACTTGTTCTTTACAAATCACCTTGGCTGATGCACGAGAAACTGTCATCTGAAAAAGGGGAACATGTGTATTAGTAAGGCACTTGGTAGTCAGAGAAGTTGGGCTGACAGAGAATATTGAACAACAAATTCAGTCCACATGCCTGAAACTGCCAAGTACCTTGAGAAGCCCAACAGAGAACAATATGAACTTTGAATCTGACATGTAGTAGTATTTTAGGAATGATGTAAAACAAGTTAATTGGAGGTGGCTGTCCACCCACTTCAAAAAGTCAAGACTGGGTATCAGGCAGACTCTATAAGTTCATTTTCTGAATGCTTTTTTCTAATTCTACTCCACATGTCCCCAATTTATCTCACACAGGGAGAGATAGTAAGTAAGCCCATATAACTCCACTTCTAATTTCAAAAGTTTTTTTATTGTATGATTGTTGTTATTATACTATAAAAACTGGATATACTCTTTCCATTCCCTTTTGCAACAATAATTTATTATTTAACCCTCACAATGGGCCAGGCATTATGCTGATGCTAGAATATAGAGAAGAATGTAAATCATCCTCTGCCCTCCAGAAACAATCAGATCTATAGGATTCCAAATGGACTGCAATGCACAAATCAATGATATGAATTGCAAGCAGTTTAGATTGGCAGAAGAGTTGGATATGAAGGCTGGGAATTTGGTGGGTGGAGATGAAGCAAGGAGGGCCAGACATCGAAGGGCATTGAACATGACACTGAAAAGTTAGGAATGGAGATGAGTATGAATATATGAGTTTCTCCCATGTATGAGTCCACCAGAGGGATGATGACATGAACTGTGGTGATAGGGTATACAGGAGTATACAGTTTGAGATATGATAGTCAGGATGAATCTGTGAAATGATGACTCATGGTTCAGAAGGAATCTAGGGTGATTCCTAGGAATGCAGCTTGGCTGAACAATTGGACTCATTTATGAAATGAGGAAGAAAAATGGTTACATTAAAACCCTGCATGGTGGAAGTTCAGACCTACCCTTTTCTCAGGTTCTACTATTATGGCTTGCTTGTTTTCTTCTGAGACAAGAACACAGGTTGCAAAGGATGACTGTAACACGTTAACGACCAGGTCATTAGAGAGGACATCCAGCTTCTTCACTTGATCACCTGTCACATTGGTAGAGCCAGCAATTCCATAGCTAGAGGAAAGAAAAGCCACAAAAATATAAGTGGTGACCACCAGAACATATAAATGCACCTATGAACTCACTAAAAGTGACATGGAGTAGGATTTAGAAGAAAGAAGACACATGGTTTGGAAGATGGGCTCCTGGGGGAAAGGAAATATTGTCATTCACCTGCCCAGTACCTATCATGGCACCCAGCACACCTTTGTGGTTGAATCTGTTTCCCAACCTTCCCCACCCCCATTAGGGCCTCTAAGGAAGATTTTTAGGTATTTTTTCCTAATTACACTCCCTCATGAAATTTTAGTTTTAATACTAAAGATATGGTATATATCTGTTTATGTGCTGTATGTATACGTATCTGTGCTTTATACACAAAAAGGTTGATTTTTTCACCCCACTCCCCAGAATCAGTTTTACCCCCAAATGCAGGGTTAATGCTTAATAAATCTGTTGAGAGACACAGCAAGCCAGGGAACCTTCTGGGTAGAAAGGATCCTGAGATTTGAGTGAAGCCAAGAGAGTCTGTTTTTATAGCTGAAAACATCCTAAAAGAAAAGATACTGACTGGTCCCACTGCCTCATTTCACAGAGGCAGGTGGAAGCTCACTCCCAGGCAGCAATGGGCTTGTCCAAACCAGAGCAGCAGAGCACAGGTGCAAAGTGCACTGGGACTCCCAAGCCAGGGCTCTCTTGGTGGTACCCCACTGCCACTGGCAGGGGTCCTAACAGCTGAGGGGACTGGCAAATATGGAATTTATGCTCTATTTTCAAGGTACCAGCAAGTCAATAATAGTAGAATTCCCAGAATCTGAGTGGTTTGTCCAAAATGCAGCCAGTTTGTTAGAATGAGAGAGGAGAAGGGTTGTCATAGCCTGGGGTTGAATAGGAGCACTGAAAGGAGGGGAAAGCTTTTAAAGGGAGGGTGTACAAAACAAGAGAAGAGATTAGATGTGAGATGGAAAGAGTATAGTTGTGGAAGGTACCACAAAATGGCTGGGCTGGGAGCAGGTGATGAGGGCACACCTGCAGTCATCAGATTTCTGGGAGCACTCACCTGGGGACTGATTGTCATGGCATACACTGCTTCAGCTCCAAAAATGCATTTTCTCCAAACATAACTTACATGTCTCTGGCTGCACAAACCTTAGCCAACACCAGAAATCATCCAAACCCAAGTGTCTTGTCTGGCCTGACTCAGGGAGGTAACTCAGTGATCTCATCACCCCATTGTCCAGTGTTTCCTAGAGACACAGGCTGTAGCTGCAAGCTGATGGATCCCTTGGTCTTTTATTCATGAAATAAGATGATGAAAAGAGAAGCATGAGGAAGACTAGAGGGATAAGATGCTGTTCATTCCCTGCCCAGTACCTGTTATGGCACCCAGCACACCTTTGTGGTTGAGTCAGGCAGATGCCCCAGTGGGCAAGGGAATGATGCTCTGTTTGAGCTTTTCATTCTCATCCCATATAATCTCTTCCTCACCTCAACTTTAAGACCAACACTGGTGGAGAAAAAAGACAGCCAAATTCTGGGTGGAGCTGGAGGGTCTTGGCAGCACCCACCAACTGAAATACATCTTCCTGACTAGCTCTACTGGCACCCATTACCTCCCCTTCCCAGCTAGAGGTTTCTAGGATTAAAGTCACTGCTAATCCAGGACAACAGGTAGGGCTGAGGGAAAGAACGTGACATGATGCAGACACCTGGCTTGGACCACAGCTCTGCAAGCCCCTCACCCTCATGGAGCCTCCCTTTTTTACTTTGTCCATGAGAGCATTAAGTTCCTCAAGAAGCTGTGAGAGGACTGCAGGCAATAGATAACTACACAAAGTCTTAGCCCCTCCCTGGGCCCCTAATGTTAGTTCCTGCCTTGATCTCTAGAGGGAGCTTATTAAGGATCTGCATGTAGAGGAATGGGGGTCTCAGGGAACCCCCAAGGCTTTATCCACTATATGCTGGCATGATTGTTTGTCCTTTCCTTCCAGGAGGATGAGGACAGAGGGCATGTTTTTCCCTAGTGTCCCAGTTTCCAGCACATAGTAGGTCCTCAATAAATACTCACTGACCAAATTAATGGCATTCACTGAGGAGAGGAGAGACTGTGTCTGAAAGAATGAGAACAGGAGTGACAACTTCTAAAGTTGTTCCACACCTTGGAGTGCCGGCCCTCCCTCGCATAATCCCCAGAGGGTCAGGCCTGTTGGGACAGCTCCAGGGAGGCCCAGAGGCTGGGGCAGAGGGACAAAGAAGGCATGGAAAAGGACTGTTTCACACTTTGGCCCACATTCCATTAGCTCAAGTATCTCACTCAGCAAGATGGGAGAAGGCCAGTCAGCTCTTCGAGGAGCTGCGTGAGTGTTCATTTATTCCATAAGTATTTATTGGGCACCGAATGTGCCCCCCACAAACTATCCTGACTGCTGGGGTTACAGTGCAGAACAAGACAGATGATATCACTGGCCTCATGGAGCTTTTTTCTACTGAGTGAGACAAAGAAAAAACAAGTACCTTTGAATGAATGAGATAATATCAGATAGCAACCAGTGCTCTGATAAAATGAAACAAGATGCTTAGGGATGGTTGGGGAGTGAATTAGATGGTCAAGGAATGCCTCACTGCAAAGGGGCCATTTAAGCTGAATGATATCTTGAATATTTTTTTATTAAAAAAAAGAAGGTATGAAAATGCCCAAAAGGAGCCCGAATAAGTCCACCAGTAATGACTACACAGAACAGCTCCATGTCAGAAATGTATCCATAAACAACAGGGAGTTTGCTTTTCACACATGTCCAAATGGGAGAGGGTACTCTGTGTACATTTGCATAACTTTTTAAACCTCAGGGTCTTTTTCCCATGGATTCATGGAGCTCTGAAATGAGGGAAGAAGAGATCCAGAGAGGAGGGCCCTGCAAGGCCAGCTCTAGTTTGTGGGGCTCCTGAGCCAGCACCTCTCCTAACCCCCCAGCCTTACCTCCCACCCCTGTCACCCAGTTCAAGGACAGATGGGTTTTTCTGTGACTGATCCACATGCAGAATCTCTACCATTTGTTCAGAGGAAGTGAATGAAAGTGGCAGAGTTCCTGATGTACAAGACTGATTGCATTTTCTGAGTTTGCATACTGAGCAGCTAGCCTAACAAAAGTGAGAAGCAAGTTCTCTAGTCCCAGATCATGCCATGGATGTGGGCTATAAGGAGTTATAAGCAGTGTCGAGGCAGTTGACTTGTCTAGCCAGGACTACCAGCTGGATTGATTCCTCACTGCTGCTCCAAGACTCTAAGGTGGCTCCTGCCCTTGGGCCACAGAGTGTGGCACCACCTGTTTATGATGGGAGTTGGGTGAAGCACATAAAACGCTGCAGGGTGAACACTGTGGGGACACTCACTACACCTGGCACTGAAATGACCCATCACAGACAACTGGCCACTTCTCAGGTTCCGCCTCCCATCAGGGTTAGGTGGTTACTCCTCCCTGCCTTCTCTTTAACTTCCCCCATAACTGAGGGTCCTTCCTTTGTTTTAACCAGAAGGAATCTTCTTCAATTACCTTCCAGTTGCTTATAAAGAATAACATTAAAAAAACATGGAGATTGATTATTCTGTACCACTCGAATTCAAAATTCAGGCACTTGATTACTTTTCTAGGACTTCTCATGAGGAGAGTTCCCCTGGTAAAACCTGGTATTAGGAAAGCCACCATGAAAGCACAGGAGAGTGACTCTAAGGCAGAAACAGGGTTCAGGAGAATGAGTTCCCAAACTGCCATCTGAGTTTATATACTTTACCACAAGGTCTTTGCGTTGCATCTCAGTTCACAAAGCTATCTGTGACTAGGGTTTCACGCACAGCCCTGCATTTCTGCTTAGTCATGATGAGTCGGGCTAGGCATATGTTTCATAGGGCCTCTCCCCACATGCCTCAGAGGGACACTCAGAAGGCAGCAAGCTGTTCCCAAGGTAACTTGTTTTCACAGGTCAGTGAAAAGTCAGAAGCAGTCAAGCTTCTAATGACTCTGACAAAGGAAAACAGCCCTCGGAAATATCCTCAGGGAACTAAGTAGCTAAAGAACACATGGAGTTTATTTTCTCCACAAGTTTTCAGAACCCCCCTTAGAAACAATAAATGTCTGCATTCTGATCAGTCATCATTCCTCAAAGAATAGATGAACAAGAGCCTTCACCTTATATTTCAGTGGCCACTCGGAGGAGCAGTGTAACCATGTACAGAAACAAGAGCAGATATGGGCCTCAGTTCCTGGTGACACAGACCTCTCTTTTGCTGGGCCCATTTGATCCAGGGCTTGGAAACTTATTCTACTGAGTTCTAGGCAGACTCAAGGAGAGCCCGGCAGGTCAGGAGGGCTGTCCTGGTGTGGACGGAGCTTCCATGCTTATCATTGTGAACAGGAGAGGATGGTACCAATGATCTTCAATGGGAGTTCAGCAGTGCCTTTCACACACCACCCCACTCATGGCTCATTCTCAGATCAGTTCCCAATGTGCAGCTCCTCCAGGCCAGAATCAGTCAGCAAATAAGGCTGCAGAGATGTGCATAAATTATCACACAATCCTATCCAAAAAGTCTTCCAGGGGCCAACTGTGCCCTACAATCAATAAAGAGAAACAAGTTGAACAGTTGAAGAAATGGGTTGACCTGAGCACGCAGTAAACCTCAAGGCTTGGCTCCCTCCCCTACCCAAGCAGAAAAGGATCTCAGAGCTCTACTGATCAAGCAAGACAGGGACCTTAGTTGTGACTGAGCCAGTGACTTGATCTGCTGAGGAAGCTTTTCCTAAATGTAAGTTATCACAGAAGGGAAGGCATCATCATGGGTTTTTTTTCCATGAGCTGGGACTCCAGACCACTGGGGTCCAAATCCCAGCTCTGCCCACCACATGCTAAGCAACCCTTGGGAAAACACATCTCTGACCTGTGGTTCTTCACCTGTAAAATAGGGATTTAGTATCAATATATCTACATCATAGCATACATATAGAGAGGGGCAGTAAATG